TTTTTTTGGTTGTTGGGGTTGTACCAAAGAGGTCATCTATGAAACCACCTAAGAAACCGGAACTGGCTTCCTTACGCTGAATAATATCAAATCGCATTTAATACATCATAGGGTAGAAATACTGTAACTTCTTTATAAATGCGCCTCACTCACCTCGGCGTCCACATTCGGACTCAACTCTTGCGGATCGTAGTCATACAGTGCGATCATGCGTTTCACCGGCATGTTGGCATAGATGTCGCCCCAACGATCACGACTCACATTGCGCATACTTTGCTGTGGACCACCCTGGCCGGGCATCACTTGACCCGGGCCACCAGGCTGCGGTGGACCGCCCGGCATTGGACCCATACCGCCGGTGCCATCGTCCACCTCGGTAACCATATTGTGAGGCACGTAACCGCGACGACCGCGCAATTCACCCCAGTAAAAGCCATCGGCGTCCTTGTCGCCATAAACCTGCGTGGAGTATAAGCAGACGTGATGAGTTTTAATTTCAAGCCAAATCTAGCAAATATGTATAGATAATTTCTGTATGATTTTCTCAACAAATATTTATACCACTAAACAATTACATACAATTCATAAGAATATCGAAAACTCTTAATGGGAAAGTCTTCAAAATGGATTTGTTTTCATATTCCGAACACAAGACTACAGCGGATGATTAAATATCGTATAGCAACTGACTAACGGTTAAGACATGCAAGTTTGGTTAAGTGTGAGAAATTCTTGTAAAAATAAATACTTATTGATAGGTGAGCTGAAGTAGATGTGTGTACTGCTAGTAAGTGGTCACCCGATTACTATAACCGATTCATTTACTCTCCGATTCGCCAAGGTAATATGTAACTTAAAAACGAATTTGTTGTGAAGGTATGCATGTTTTGTATGTATGCTTGTATGTAAATATGTGTGTGTGTGTGGTATGCCTTTTTACCTTTAAAATTGCAAAGCTGGGTATTCGAGACACCACTTTCCTCTTCGATGGTCTCTCCATAGCGCTCCTCTATGCGCTTTTGCACTTACACTAGCTCACCTCAATGCACCATCAAAGGTGTTTCTCGCTCCGTACTTAACCATACATACATAAATATGTATATTCATATGTAGTATATGTATTGTTGTTGTATACATATGTTTAAAAATTCATTTCATAGCCACCCTTAACCATGTGCACTACTCCTATACGTCTACTACATAATCAACTAGTTTCTTCTACCCCACAACACTACCACCTACCTTAATTGTATCACCTTCTTGGAATGGCAGTTCTTCGTCGCATCCATCTGGATTAGGACTCATTGTGCTTGGATCATAGTCGAACATAGCAACGAAATAGCGCGGCTTCTTTTGTGCCGCCAAATGTTGTTGCTGTTGTTGTTGTTGGGTTAGTGGCTGCTGCCCGGGACCCATGCCCATTTGCGCCTGTTGTTGCATTTGTTGTTGTGGATTGAGAGGGCCACGCGGACCCATAGCACCTTGCATTTGACCCTGCATTTGTCCGGGGGTCATTTGAGCGCCCATTTGACCCGGAACTTGGCCGGGCATCTGACCTTGCATCTGGCCCTGTATCTGACCCTGCATCTGACCCTGCATTTGGCCGGGCATTTGGCCTTGCATCTGGCCCTGCATTTGACCCGGCGCTGGCCCTCGCTGCCCGGGAAAACGTTGTGTGCCCATTTGACCTTGTGGACCGTACGGCTGCTGGCCTGGCTGCTGTCCGCCCATCATTTGTGGACCGGTAGGTCGGCCTTGCATCATTGGGCGTGGACCTGTTCCAGGTTGGTAGCCCTGTTTTTTTAATCGGCGATCAGCATAGTAATCGATGGATGGATGATCGGAGATCGGAGTGGTTGTCGTCGTCGAAGATCGCCAATTTCATTTCGTAGTAGTTATGTTGATCGAATGAATATTGTTAAGCAATGATAAATCAGGCATGAATTACGTTTGTAAAGAAATTTTGAAATTTGGTTTAGTTGAGTGATTGCTAGGATCTTATACTTTTTGATTTGCATAAAATTGTTCGCTGCTTGCAATGATTCGCATTTAGCTTTTCAACAAATTAATTTATGAATGTGTAAAACATTTCCAACTTAAAATAGAAGCCAAACTTAAGTACAGTACGAGTAGTATTTTAAAGGCGCATTACGTAAATGAAAGAATGTATGTATATAAGTACGTAAGTTTAATATTTTTTATAAGGAGAGATAAAAAGTTCAAAGGAAAGTATAAAGCTACAGAACGAAAAATAGAATATGAAATAGAGCTCCTAAAAATATGTTCATAAATTCACGAAAACTGGAGCGAAAATGCATAGAGTTGAGTTGTTTAGTTTTTTTTTTTAACTTCGTTCCTCTAAAACCAAAACACAAACAAATCTTTTTAAAGCTTTCTATGCTACAGAAGTCATTCTATTAACGCCTATGTGATTTTTGAACATTTTGGTAGACATTTAAGAGGGCTCTCACTTTTTGGCACATTCTGAAGGAGATACAACGAATTCAGAGACCAGCAGGGAAGTAAAAGTACCGGCTCCAGTAGTTCACTGTACAGTATATGTAATATGAGAGACAAACTTAATCTGACTCTTAGCATCAAATAGCAGCCGCAAATAATACTAGATCTAGTCATACATATGTACAGGCCAACCTAAATTCCAAGATTTGTGTTGCGTGACATTTCGATTTGACGTTTGTGCTCATTTGACATTTTGGCGCAACCATGAACTCAAATTTTATTCACGAAACTTACATAAATTTGGCAAAAATTCAACTCTGACAAATCACGCACGCAAGTTGATTTCGGTTCATCAAATGTGAAACACTTGTGTGCGAGCATAGAAAAACTCACGCCGGCAATATTAGGTAAGAGATCAAATAGCTATTAGCTGCTGCACAACATTAATTGTCATACTAATGTACACAACCTGCAAAAAAGCGACTAATCCGGGATGTTTCCTGGCTCAGTCGCAAAGGAACACGCGAGTAATACCGCTTTTGATTTATGTTTATCACTCACTTTTATTAGAGTATCTTGTTCGATGGGACTGATTGCTACCCTTTATACTCGAATGGGTAAAGAGTCGTTTTCTTAAATTTAAATAAGAATTTGCGTCAGCTGAGATTCAAACCGGGGTTGGCTAATCAACCTCTGTCTCCATTGCCAACGGCGTAAAAGAACTTTCGTTAATTAAGGGCGTACATTGGTATTAGGGTGATCCAAAATAACTAACCTAATGAATTTATGGCCTTAAAATTACATATTTGCTGAGGAGAAAATTCTCCCACTTGGAAAAATGTTTACTTACATTTTAAAAGATTTCGGTGGGCAGTTGAAATTTCCATATAAATAACATGTAAAAAGGTGTATTTTTTATTAAAAATTATATAACTATTGAACCGTTTGAGATACATTTTTTTTGTAGGCACATTTTGTATAATATCAGTGTAAGTTTTTTCTTTTAGCATGAATATTTTCTATCATAAAGCCCTAAAAACGCATATTTCTGCTTTTTCCGACTTTGATAGCGCTTAAGTATATACATTTTTGAGTCTAGACCATCAACTTTAGAGTAGTTTTTTAGAGAATTTAATGCCACACTCAAACCTTTCAATGCTTATAACATTTTAAATGAAAACAAATTTGTTTACATGTTATTTACATGTAAAATTTCAAATGCCCACCGGCACCTTTTAAAATTGGAATAAAAACTTTTCCAAATGGGAGAATTTTATTCTCAGTAAATCGGTCCTATTAAAGCCATAAATTCGTAGGGTTCGTTATTTTGTATCACCCTAATATGTATGTACATGTATGTACATCTAGAACCTACAAATGATATACCCTGCAGGAATATCATCAGTTTATGAGACGATTTCCTCGTTCAGAACTAGAACTGACTACTCGAGACATCTACACCTGTTTTTGAAATTCCGCAATAACCAAGAAAAAACAAATAATCGCCATTGTCGGCTGTGGCGTCGCGCAAAAGTATTGCTTCGATGCTGATGGCGTAGTTTCGAGTCTTACGATGCTACAAAAACTTAAGTTAGTTACGTAAAATTCAAAATTTAAATAAAATCTTAACCAACGGAAAAAATCTAATTTATTTAATTTCAGAATTTCGAACTGGTCCGCAACTGTTGAAAAGATAATGGCGAGCGAACCAGTTCGCTTCTAATCCAACGCAATGTTGAACTCACCGAACGCTTCAGTTCAAAATTAAATTGAGGCGAACCATTCATGGCTCTAAATTCGGTTGAATCCTTTCAGTTCGTATTTAGTGAATTTTTTTATAGAAATATTATGGCTTGAGAGTGTGTACTAGTACTAATACTAATTTAAATGAGGTAAATATATTTCTTTTTGCAAAACGGAATTTTTCTACTGTTATCTCTAGCTAGAGGGTTAACTAGAAGGAGAGTTACATATGTAGAAAAAGTCGGAGTTTCAAATGCTACACATCCGCTAACAAGACAAGTATAAAACCGAGGTACATATTAATTAAATAATTCATATTTTTGTTTTTTTTTTCTATAAGTAAAATGTATAAAATGAAATGTTGGGTTTTTAAATTTTTCTTCATATGTATGTAAGTTCTCATGTATACTAGGGTATTTCATTTTATAGCCTACCATCCCGTTCACAAGAAAAATTTCAGAATGTTTTTAAATATTTCTGTCGCTTGGAAAAGTGTATTTCCGCTGCTGTCAGTTTGCTTAAAGAAATAAATTTACGAGCATTTTTTTTTCTAGTTAAGTCCATAATTGGTGGAGGAAACCTGTGTTCATACTGATTTAAGAAGTTTTGATAGGTGCACTAAGTTTTTGAGCTTTAAGTCTTGAGAGCGGGATACTATGCTTATAAGGCAAATAAAATGCAAGAAAATGAAGATGTTGCTTAAATCCCGAGATTTCAGTGACATTAAGGATATGTTCTTTATGACCAAATTAAATAATATCAATAGGTTGTACAGTTTTATAAGTTTTGTAAAAGCAAAAACTAAAATTTCACAATATTAACTGTTCTATTCGGAATATTTTGGCGAATTCACTGATATTCAAACAATTTATGCCCATAAAATCTAAATTTGATTGGTGAAACTGGGGATCAGTGCCGATAAATGACCGGCCTTAAGGGAGTCTAAATTTAGAAAGCGCTCTTCTCTGTTGCTGAAAATCACTACAAATTGGCTGATAAGATACCCGTACAGTAGCGGGAAAATAAATAGGTAGGGGACATTTTAAAAAGTTATGACTATTTTTATTTTGTTTATTTAACGTTTATTTCTTTATGAAAGTATCTGACTACAACCCTGTAAGTCCAAATTTTAAACTATAAGAATTATGAAAATTCGACAGAGTTTATTTAATATAATAAATTGCAAGATTGAAGTAGCAAGGACTTACCATATGCACTAAAATTTAATGGGCTACAAAACTGAATAAAAACTATGCATGTATGACGACAATTTGTTAACATGCTTCGAATTTTTATAAATTTGAAATTATATAATTATTATCAACAAAAAACAAGCAATTGTCTAATAGCGGTCGCCCTTCCGCAGGCAATGACAAACCTCCAAGTGTACATCTACCAAGGAGAAGCTGCTCATAAAACCATTTGCTGTTGGGAGACCGCACAGTGGTCGGAAAAGTCATGTTAAACGCGAAAAATTAGAAGGGCTGTTACGAATATGTAAAAAGGCGGGATCGCAGTATTGCTGTAATGCTAAATCCGAATATGCCATAAAATTTATAGTTTGACAGTTGACAGCTGTCAAATCAACTGCCAATGTAAAGAAAATTAAGAAAATCTTTTTGAAAATGCCACTGATTACGTTTTTTGACATGCTGATCACAAATTTTATGTCAAATTAAAACCCTGACAGTTGACAGCTGTCAAATGAACTATGAATTTTTCTAAAAATAAGACAATCTCTTTAAAAATGCCACCGAATACTTTTTTTGACATGCTGATCATGACTTTTGTTTCAAATTAAAACCCTGACAGTTGACAGCTGTCATATGAATTAGTAATTTTTCTAAAAATAAGACAATGCTTTTCAAAATGCCACTGAATAGGTTTTTAGACAAGCTAATCACCAATTGCGTGTCAAATTAAAACCTTAAGAGCTTATGACTGTCGAAGGGGCAGTAAATTTTTCTATAAAAAAGAAAGATTTCCCACGAATTAACCGTACTATTTTTTAAGACTCACTGATCTCGAATTATTCATGTATCTCATTCAAACCTTTTCGGTTGAAAACTGTCAAATCAACTGTCATTTTCAGCTGAGTAATACAAAATGTTTGTTTAGAAAAATTTTATTCATTATATACGAGGAAACGTATCTAAAATGAAATAATGAAAGAATAACAGTAATTATATTTATAAATTAGGGATATTTGGGTCCGTCTGCTATATGCCCAGCCCAAACAATTTGATCTAGGCCCCAACAGTTTTTTTTTTTTTTGTACGAAATTTGTCATTTCCAAAACTTCAGTTTTCTCATTTTTAAATACAGTTCGTCAGGTATGAATTTTTGGAAATTTCGGACGGATTTTGCATTTTTAATTTTCAAAAACATATTTGAAATTTGTAATAAGCGAACTTAAGAACCTCCAAATACCAAATTTCATGAAAATTCAGCAATTTTTTTAATTCTTGGACGCCATATTGGATTCGTTATTAGATTTTTGAAAATTTACTACAGCTTTGTTAAGACACATCTTATAAATGCTATGATGCTAAATATAAAATAAATTACGTAAATTTTTAATATTTTAATACACTTTATGTTATTTGGAAAATTGCCAAAGTTGGTCTGGTGAAATAAAAATGACCGCCACTCTTTTTGGCGCGAGTAAGCGCGGCTTGTCTTTTCGTAGATCCTTAAAGGGATCTTTACATTAATTTTTGGTAAAGGAATGAAACACTTAACCCTGTCAGGAACATAAGCCTATATTAAAATCACTAACGATTTCAATTGTAAAATGTTATTCATCTAGGGCTAAATAAAAACACTTTTTAATAAAAAAAAACTTTTTATGAAAGAAGGAACTTTTAAAAAAAAATTTTTTTTTCATACGAAACATTAAAGAAAACCAGTTTCTGCCCCAAAGAGTTTTTCCTAAAAATTACTTATTTCACTTATATTTTCATACTCAATAACGAATTATTTTTTTGTAATCATATTGTCGAAAATAATTTTTCCCGACATACATAAATTTTGCCAGAAAATTTGTTTGTCTCCTAAAATTCTTTGTTTCAAATATTTGGTAAATGTTTTTTAATTACTTTCATATTAATTTCATATTTCTTTCCCAAAAACTGTATTTTTCCTATATTATGTTTCTACCGTTAAAGTTAAAAATATCTCTCCAGTACAAAAATATGTTTTCTATCATTTCTTTAAAATACAGCTTGATGAGGCACATTCTAATAATATTAAATACTACTGAAAACTTACATAATATCCATATGAGCGGAATAACTTTGTGGAAAGTGTGTTTCCCTAGATCCCAAAAGGGTTAACAAAGATGTGAGCGGAAAATATTTTTTTAACAATTAATGAAAAATCATCCTATCGCCAACTTTCACAAAACTGACCGGGATTTATAACCACCAAATTTAGATCTACATTTTTTTATTTGGCATATAGTTATGTACATATTTATGAATGTCTATCAAATCCCTGAGACTCGGGGTATGAGCAAAATCATGATAAAAACATTACAAGGTAAATTCATTCTCTCGATTCGTCGGCCATGATTTTTTTTCTGACGTTTGCCAGCATTTTAAAATCATATAAAATTGAAAATAAAAAACTGAAATTGTTCACAATTGTTGTTGTTTGAGAGTGAAAATGAGAATGTGTGTGTGAGTTTGAGTTTGAATTTTTAAACTATATTGTTGGCAAACGTCAGACTGCCTCTCAGTGGTTTTACCTTGTTATGTTTTATCATGAGCAAAATCATGTAAAAATCACAAATATGAAATAATGAAACGCCCTTTTGTATTTTTGTACTCGTATGTATGTATGTATGTGTATCAAAATATATGGGAGACAAAAAATTTCAGCATTTCTAATGTAAATTTACAACTGAACTCAATAAATTTTCGTTTATGCTCTCATAAAAGGAATAAAATACAATAAAACTTGAGTGTTTTTAGCATTCAACTGCATTCAGTTATCAGTATTAACTTTGTATCTAAAATAAAACAGTGTTGGCAAACAAAATTTAATTGAATTATAATTTTTTTTGTAAATGCCAGCAACACTAGCAGCTAATTTTAAGTGTCTAGTAATATGTGTATGTATGTAAACAAAACTAATTGTATGTATACATATGTATTAAGTATGTAGCAATGTAGTTTAAAGTATTTACTAATATAAGTAATTAAGTATTTAATTTAAGTAGGCAAGTAAGTAAGTAAGTAAGTAAGTATGTGTTAAGTAAGTATGTGTTGTTGGGTGAGTAACTTACATTGATATTCTGATTCACTTGACTCTGAGTAGTAGTGGGTTTTGAGAAAAGGCCACCAAGCAGCCCACCTAATAAGCCATGGCTTCCGTCAGGCTGCAGTGCGAGTATTATAGATGGATGCGTTTGGGTTTTATGAAAATTGTTGTAAAATGTTGATTGGTTTGATTTTGATTTTTTTTTTATTGATTTGGTTGATTGTTTAAAATTTAATGATTGATTGTTTGTTTAAAATGTTTGTTGTAATGTTGATATGTTTAGTACTTAATTAGCAAAAAAGCAAATTTTTAAAATACTAATTTTTCGATACTTTTTTTGTAGTAGATAGGTACGGCAATAAAGTGCCAATCAATTGGATTTTCACTAAAAACTCTTATTTTAAGTGATAGTAAACAGTTTTTTTTTTTTATAAAAATGCATGAATCTCAAAATTTAATAACTTTCATATTTCAAAATTACGAATTTTCTCCAAAAGGCAGTGGACTTGCTTTAAAAGTTAAATATGTAATATATTTCTTTCCAAATTTTAAACTCATACTCCAAATTGTACATACATACATTTTATGAGAACTCTTTTATCTTTTTCTTCTGGTGGTAAACTAGGGCTCAAAACATGGGAATCTTAAAAAGGGACAATAACTGGGTTTCACATAGTAAATAATTAATTGTGAATTCAGTCATGGATAATATGATACCAAACTCTCTCATTTCGCTTCTAAGAATGCCCCTAAACTCGTTTTACGACTTGGCGCACAGAAAGTTCAGGGGGCGATGAACAGCTACCACTAGTCAAGTTTAAAATTCACCACTTTGAAATCAGGGGATTTACATTTACATGCAGTTATAAAACAAGCGAAAGGGCAGCGTTTATAAGTTAAAATACTTTTACTCATTATTTAAGAATTTTATAAACGCAAGCACAAAGCAGGTATTTAAATTTTTCGATTTTCGAGTGTTTTACTTAATAAAGGAAAATCTCCTACAATTTCTTAATAAATACCCATACATATATTTCGTCGCAGTGGCACAATTGGAAGATGTTATGAAAAATGAATCTTTTGACAGCGCTCTCACAAGAAAAAGAGTTTCGTATCATATTATCCATGAATTCAGTGCTGTTGCAAATTTTAGGTTAGTAATATTTTTCTTTTATTTTTATTGTGACTCAGATCAATATCTACCAACTTTAAGTAAACAATAAAAAAAATTGACTTCATTGCAAAACAAATTTCGAGCAGAAAAAACAAAGATTTCCTTCATAAAGGCTGTTTGTTTAGGAAGAAGTATTTAGTAAGGGATAGCTTAGTAGATAGCGAGAAAAGGTG